AGCTCCAATGACTTTTGGTAAAGCTCCTGACAATTTGTCATAGCTGCAAAGCTGTTTGCAGTCTGTATAAAATGTTCTCGGAGGGATGCAAACGTGTCCCTGTCTTCAGGAACAGGCATTTCTGTACAAGTGTAGGAAAGGAAGGACTAGAAATCCTGCCCGAGCCTGCTCCTTTGGGAGATGCCGCCTGGAGAGCCACTTCCAGGAGAAACCCAGCACCGACTGTCTGCCCAGAACCTACATCAGAGTTGCTTTTCCCAGTATTTTTCTTTTTAAAGGCTCATTGTTTCTGCTCAAGGTTCTGCAGTATCTTGGTCTGGATGTGACCGAGGAGAAGAAGAGGCAGTTACGGCAAAGCTTGACCACAGACTCGCAGGGGACGGTGGCCTACGGAGGTGAGCGGGCAGCTCTGCGCCCGACGGGCTTTTTCATTCTTGTGTAGCTTTGCTGGAGGCTGAGAGAGGGGCATCTGCTGAAAGGTGGCCAGTAAGACACCTGCCCTGGGTATTGATGTAGACTCAAAACAGCTAAGAAAAGTCACAAATACAAAAGGTGTTTGGTTAGAAGCATATGTAAAATGAAAATATAAGAAAGTCAGTGTGGGGGCTCGCTTTCCTTAACCCCCAGCTTGCCAAGCAAGAGCTGGCCAGAGGACACGCGGAAAATAAAAGCCTGCTCTGCTTTCTGTGACCTGCCAGAGTCTATCTGGCCTGCAGGGACTGTTCTCCACAGGTTTTTTCGCAAAAATTCAAAGTCATCAGCAACCTCCCCACCAGACAGGACAGGCTTGCAAAGCACAACGCCTCTCGGAGGGACGGTTTTGTGCAGAGCGAGCGATGGGATACAGAACCGTGCAGCTCTCCTAAGAGCGACCGGCTTCGTAGTTTGTGGCAACAGAAATAAGGTTGATTAGGGGTATCGGGCGAACATGCCGGCGGCGAAGATGCTGCTCTTGTGGTAAAGGCTCCGGTTCCCGCTGCAGCCCCAAGCTGAGGACCAGAGGGGCTGGGACACCGGTGCCATCTCCCCTGCGCTGCGCCGGATCCCGTCTGTCCCACACGGCCCATTTCCTCCGTACCCAAAAGCAAAGCAAACCTGACTTTTTTCAGATTTGTTAATTTAACACCTTTTCCAAGCGCTGAAGTCATTGAGTTGTTCTGTGTTTAAATCAGCAACATGAGCAATGCCACCAGGCAGGCAGGTGCCTTCTGGTCAGAGAAATGTGGGTTTTGGCTTAAAATTTTAAAACTCTGAGAACTGCAATTGTGAAAACGCCACTGAGAAAATATCTGAGGATTTCTGGTTTTTAAAAGTTTAATTTTTTTTTCAATTGGATAATAAACAAAAGTCTGGTAAAGATTGTCAACAATTTATTTAAGCTCGATGGGATTGCCGAAGAACCCGGGATTTGTTAGAGAAGATTGTTTGCCATTTCTAAACCCGCTCAGTGGATGTCCCCAAAATCGGTGGCGTTTTCTCCTAACACACGGCGCTTTCCTCTTTTAGGCTGGTAAAAACTAATTCTTTCTTGCAGATCTTCTCCAAGCACTCAGGGATCTGATGCAGGAGGAGCTGGATGAGGCTGGTCTGGATTCCAGCTCCATGCTCTTCACGCAGCGTGAAGTGGCCAGTTTGCTGGATACGTCGGCTTTTCACTCTCTGGTCAGTCAGTCCAACGCTCTCTTACATTGAATCCATCAATCTTCTACATGAAATCCATGAAATTCTCAGATGGGAAAAGCTAAATTATCCTTTTCAGGTGGTTCTAGAGTTATAAAGAGAAGGCAGAAGTATGCATTAATCATTTTGATTATAGGAAAATCTAGAAAAGCCTTCACACTTCTCATTTTTAATAAGGAAATAGCAATATTTATGGGGTTATAAGAAGGAAGCAGCCCGACAGTGATGCAGAAGGAAAATTAGCCAAAATTAACCAATTCCAACTAACTTTGCCTGCTTCGTGAAAATAAAATCCACTGTAGCACAGCTATTCCAGCTATGTCAGGGATCAGTGAATGAAATCCCATGGGGTGAAAAAAAAAACCCTGCGGCTGATTTATTTAGCGTGCCTTTTGATCTGTTGCATAAAAACACGGACTCCTTTTCAAAGTGATTTTGATTCATCGTTATTCTGGGTATGGAAGACAACACGCGGGCCGTATTGCCCCGCACTTTCGGTAAAGCACGAGCGGCGCGTGATGCTGTGTGTCCCTCTGCCTTTGCAGACCTTCGACTCTCTCAGCTGTAACAGCAACGAGGAGCTGGAGCAGCTGCAGCTGGAAATGATGGATCTACGGCAAGAAGTCCGAAGGCTAAAGGTGAAGCCTCTCCTCGGAGCAGGTTTTTTTGGCTGGTGCCTTCTGCTGTAGCTCGCTGTAGTCCTACACGAGGGTAATGGTGTAGCCTGTCGCTCCTAAGAAGTCACCAGTTTGCATTCTGTGCCTTCCTCGTTACAGAGGAGACTCTCACCCTCTGCTCTCCTTAATTGCCCCTTTCTTGCTCTCAACCTCGAATGAAAACTGATTTATCCTGAAAGCGGACAGTCCCTTTTTAGCGGTGACTAAATGCATTTAAAAACGCCCCAAAAAAAAAAAAAAAAAAGAAAAGCATCTCGCAAATAATTCAAGTCTATGAATAACAGAAGCACCGCCTGTCCTGCCACGCTGACCGCGCTGCAGGTTGCCGGCATGGCTGTTAGCACCATGGCCGTGTGCGGGTGGATTTCTGCGGGCACTGCAGGTCGCGGCCCAAAAAGCACTGCGTGGTGGGGGACAGCGCACACGACTGCTGTTGTAAAATATTATTCCTGTGGGAAGGGGCTACAAAACCAGGGTACCTTCTAGAGAACGTCCTATCGCTTCTTGCTTCTAATCCGGTGAAAATATTTTCTCTAGTCTCTCCTGAAAGAGGTGGAGAACAGCAAGAAGTCAATGGAAGATGAGCTTCAGAGACTGAACCAGGTTAGCGGAGAGACTGCTGGGGGCCTCGGGGTGGTTTTGGGGGTCGGCGGCTGAGGGGGATGTGGTGCACTGAGCAGAACTTCTCGCTGCTTCCAGAAAGCCCTGGGCTTCCTCTCCGAGAACCGGACGCTGCACAGCAAGCTGCAGATGGCAGAGGTCGTGCAGAGACAGGCTCACAGCGCGGAGCAGGACTACAAGGAAGTGATCCACTTGCTGGAAGCTGAAATTGCAGAACTGAAGATGCAGTTGGCGGGGAAGAAAGCAAAACACGTCTCTGAAATAGAGGTAACGCAACCCCCTCAGCCTGGGAAAAAAAAACCCACAACCCTCCCGACCCTTCTGCTGTTGGTTCCCCCCCACTTCTACTTATAAAGGAGAAAATGAAGATAGCACATACGTTGTTTGTTGTGCATGACTCACAAGGCCAGCATGATCTCTGGGTCCCTGTTATAATCTGTGTAATTTCTACCATCCACTCCAAAGGGTCAGTGGTTTTCTGCTGGTAGCCAATGTCATAAATTGATGTTTCCAAAAACCAAGGCTGGAGTGTCATCATCACCTTTCTCTTTTTCTTCCGTCCCCGTCTCAGGAGGACATCCTGGAACTGAAAAGACAGTTGTCCCTGGCGGACAGCCAGCTCCGAAAATCAGAAGTCTCACGGAAGCGCCTGGAGATCTGCAATAGGAAATTGCTCCTGTTTGTGCAGGTGAAG